TCCACTTTGCTGTAAAACATCTAATCACACCCCATCAACGTATTTTGCATTAATTTCCTACATTTGTTACCGTGACCCTGAAAATGCAAATGGAAGTGGAAGAAGAAGAAGAAACTGAAATCAAAACAAAACCCCTCAATAAAAAAAAACAAATTGGCACAAATTAACAAAAAATAATACAAATGGAACCGTTTGGAATTCATTAAACGCAACGGTCACTACAACGAATGAATAAATTAACAGGTGAAGACAGGTAAAATAAACATCAATTTATGCAGAGATGGCCCTACTGGCCCTACTTAGTGTTTCAAGGTGTTAAAATACCAGAAATGAAGAAGAGGGGAATTTTTATATAAACAAAAAAAAAAAAAAAAACAAAGAAACGTTAGTAATGCTAAAGATAAATACATAAAGGTTACACCCTATTACAAGTGTTTTCTAGGCGAAAATTCCAACCGAAGTGACTGATATTTAGAGTCAACAATTATACTAAATAGCAAAATCGAGCGCATGGTCTAATGAATAGAAATTTTTTTATGAAAATGAAATCCCTTGGCGGAATGAGATCCCAGAAGGATAAACACGTCATAGGTCAGGTTTTTGAGTCATGAGGGATGAATTTGTTTTTAGGTGACTCTAAAGTTCATGAAGATAAACGTATATATCTTTGTTTGTGACTATATTAAGGCTATTTTTGAGATGTCATATCATTTAGAACAGTTAAAATAACGGGATAAATTCGAAGTATAATTTTACTGGTATTCTCAGAAAATGTATACCGTAAAAATATTTTTTTTTTATTTAATTTACAATTACAAAAAAATGTTGAAAATTACAACAAAATTGTAACAACATGGTGACTATCATGTTGTTTTGACCATTGACCCTTTTCGATTAATGTGGCATTGAACTTTTCCATGAAGGTGGTGGCAGCACAAAAGGTTTCTTTTGCATATTAAAAAAATATATTCACAAAAATAATTGCCGGTTCAATGTTAATGTATTACAATGTTAACAAATGTATGCATGAATGAATGAGTGAGTGAATACATGAATGAACTACAATAAATAAGTATCGTGTAGCCGGGTCAAGAAAACAACATGTCAAAAAGAAGAAGAAAAATACAAAAACAAAACTACAATATAAGCAGAAAACCATGACCTACGTCACACTGACAACAGTTACTGAATCATATAAACAGTAGTCATTATAGGAAAAAATAAAAAAGACAATGACGAGCAGAGAAACTGTTTAGGGGGGAATAAACAAGAAAAAACATAACTTTGTTTATAAAAATAAAACAAATATACTTAAGGTTAATAACATTAGAAATCGTTGGGGGGTCAAATGTTAAAGTCCACTACTAGGGTTTGTTTATGTTTAATTGCTACTTCATTACTTTGTGTATACAAAAGACTTAAGACACGAGCACATGAAATAGATAGCCAATACAAAAAAATATTTTTAAGGTGTGTGTCTTAAGTCTTTTGTTTTACACACAATAAATTCATCTCAAAATACTAGCATTTTCGGTAAGATTTTATTTATGTATTATTTTTTATCAAATGGCTGGTATTTATTTGTTTATCTATTTTTTTAACAAAAGACCTGAGTCACAAACTATTGAAACAGATAAGAAATATTAGATTTTTTAAATAATTATTTTAATTCAATATTTTTTGTTCATGGGCCTTATAAGGCCCATATTTTAAAGTTTTTTTTAAGTTCTTCATGGGGTGTGCATTTGCTAAATAATTTTTCTACGGTTTTTAAAAGGTTTGGATTTTTTAAAAAAATTTTTTCCAGGGTCCTCAGGCGTGGATTTTTAAAATACCTTTCCAAAGTTTTTATTTTAACCAGTGAGCGGAGCAGTATAGTCGGACGGGGGCGACCATGCGATACCCTACACAACTACCACGAACTCTAACTTTCTGAGGATGTTTATTCCGAGTCTGAGTAATATTTCGTGATATTTGCCCCCTCTTGTCCGATTAGAGGTTAACAACACCTCTTCCTTACTTTTTTCGAATATTCAGTACAGTCCTTCTAATTACTTGTCCAGATTACATTCACGGTGGGTTGTGTTGTGATTTCGGATTATACTCTACTCGAAAACACACAAAAAATTATATTTTCGGTCCATTTCATCCCAAAATTTTAATCTGATCATCACCGAAAATTGTAGGCGTTGTTCTTGACCATAACTGGAACTTCATGAAAAATGTCAAAGCCATCAGCGCGATATTTCTCCCTCTAATGTGGTAATGGGTTACTGAATAATATCTGAATACGTAAGCACCTGTAAATATTTGACTGTAACTCCCACATCTGAGTAGATACATCACTATATTTGGTATCAATTTAAAGGCCAACCACTCCTCTTGGATATGCTATCAACTCCTGGGGTCTACATCCTCCAGGAGTAAATATATATGCCATAGAATACAAATTTTGTCATTTTTCACACAAAAGTCAGGGTCCATTTGACCCGCTAAATATTGACCGATCTTTATCAAAACATGCATGCTTATTCTCTGGCCCGATCCCCTTCTTCATGCAAAAATTCGCGGTGTTTGGGCCATAATTGCGGCCTCTGGAGCGACCAGAAAAACCGACAAAAATAATGTTTTTGGTCCATTTCATCCCCTAAATATTAACCGATCTTTTCCAAAAACATTTCATTGGCCAGAACCCTTCCTACATGCAAAATTTCGTGAAGATTGGTCCATAACTGCGGCCTGTATCGTGTTTACAAATTATAATGGACAGACGGACGGACGGACGGACGGACACACATGTCTAGATCGACTCAGCTAGTCGAGATATGACGATCGGTATACTTAAAGGTGGGTCTAGGACCAATATTTCGCGGCGTTACAAACATTTGGGGCTGCACAAAGCTATAATACCCTGACAACATAGTTGTGTAGGGTATAAAAATCCCCATAAAAAATCTACGTCGCATATGACATCTGAAAAAAAAAAATATTTTAAAAATCTATGCCTCAGGAGGGGCCCTCATATGACTTCTAAAAAAAATTATTTTAAAAATCTACGCCTCAGGAGGGGCCCTCATATGACTTCTGAAAAAAAACATTATTTTAAAAATCTACGCCTCAGGAGGGGCCCTCATATGACTTCTGACAAAAAAATTAGTTTAAAAATCTACGCCTCAGGAGGGGCCCTCATATGACTTCTGAAAATAATTATTTTAGAAATCTATGCCTAATATGGCCCCTGAAAAATCTACCCCTCATAGTATCTTATAATGGATTTTTATACCCTCCACCATAGTATGGAGGGTATATTAATTTTGTTATTCCGTTTGTAATTCAGCGAAATAATAATTTCCGACCCTAAAAAGTATATATATTCTTGATCAGGGTAAAATTCTAAGACGATCTAGGCATGTCCGTCCGTCTGTCCGTAAGTCCGTCTGTTGTAATCACGCTATCTTCTGAAGGAATTGAGATAGGATGCTGAAATTTTGCATAGGTTTGTCTTTTGTCTGCAGGCAGGTCAAGTTCGAAGATGTACCTCCCAATTTTTGGTATTTTGGGGTTCTTAAGTGCGTTTTTCAACTGAATACGCTGAAATTTGGTACATTGAGTTCTTAATGGGTACCAAATGTCCACTTTTTCTGGTAGCCCCCATATAACGGTACCTCCTAATTTTCAGTATTTTGGTTGTTTTGATCTTATTTTTTCCACCGAATTGGCTGTAGTTTAGAATTTGGTACCAGAAGCAGTGGACCGATATTCTCCATGTTCGAACTAGAACTAATTTTGGAAGAAATAATAAGAAATAATAATTAGATGAAATCAAAATCTTTTTAAACAATTTTGGTCCAAAGAAACATGGGGTCAAGGACCAATGTTTAGAGCCATAATCGGTTTGTAGAAATTTCGGTATAGGTACACTTTTTGGTACGTTCCCTATATTTTTATTTCAAGTACCTGTCTATGGTGGAGGGTATACAAAGTTCGGTCCGGCCGAACTTAACGCTTTTTCACTTGATTATGTTCAAAACAAAAAACTTAAGACACAAACGCTGAAGATAAAATCTCAATTGGCAAATAATTCAATTATTTTTAGTGCATGTGTCTTAAGTCTTTTGTTTTGTGCATAATATATTTTTCTCAAATAAAAAATAAATAGTGGTATCTTATATTAAAGATGGGGGATTCTATGTACAAACGACTTCAGACACAAACGCTGACGATGAAATCTCAGTCGAAAATAATAAAATTATTTATAGTGTGTGTTTAAGCGAGAATTGCTATTTAAAATGGTTAAATAGTTAGCCTTTAATTTGAAAGGTCGAAACCGTTGAAATCTGTCTACTCCTCATTATTACATCCTTGTAATAGTATGAGGCTGACAGATTTCAACGGACATTTGTTGACATTTTGCTTTTGCGCCACCTTTAGACATCTTTGTGTCAACAACATTGTTATTATTACTTACTACTTGGTTAACTCTCGTTGTAACCTACTGGCCACACATATTGTTTTGATCGATCACCAGCGCTTAAATTGTAAGCCATCGTACATATTGTTGTACCATACAGGTAATATTGTTTACCAATAAATAAATACTCGGCATTGGTCGAACCTTTTATTCATAAACATATTGTGTTTTATTTCTATTTACATATTTATTTTGGCTCCGGAGTACTATCGTGTACTGGATCTATTAGGAGAGCCTCTCATTGCACTGTGTGTCTTAAGTCTTTTGTTTTGTCCATAAGAAAACGATGTAAAATATAAAATTATTTGTTTGTAACATTATTTATCCCCCTAAAAATGACAAGGAAGGTTAGAGGTAAAATAAGGTGAATAAAGGTTAAAATTCACACCTCATTTTACATCTAACCTTACTTGTCTAATTAAAACCAACTCCACAAAATGTGGTTGTATCTATTACTCCACCTATTGTATTTCATTTAACTTAACTAACTTATTTTCTATGTTTGCTTTTGTTTTTTTTACATTTCCAGGTCGTTTACAAATAACACCCTGCTCCCTAAGTGATCCCAATAAAAATGAATGCATACGTGGTCTGTTTATGCAAATATTGCCGGAATTGAAGGTAATTACAAAAAACAACAACAAAATAAAACTAAATTTAGAGCGTAATTACAACATTAAATGGAAACAAAACCAAAGCAGAAGGCTGTTTAAGTAATTATGTCTATAATGTAATAGCCAATAAAGTGTGTTCAAGAAAAAAAAAATAAACACTTTGAAACTTAAATGTAAGCTTAACCACAACAACAATGAATGAAGGAACTATGGACGGTGTAAAATAGTATGGTAGGAAAAATTTACAAAAACAATAAAATGGTAGTACACATTAGGGGTTTACAGGAAAATGGTGAACAATGTATACATTTTTAGAAGACTTATAAATGTATTCCTTTCAAAATATATATTCTACTGTGTTTTTCTATATAAATAGGATATCAGAGACCTTATCTATATAGAAAATTTATATGCACAATATATACACAGCTGGCAGCTTTTCCAGACCATGTCGTTTTGGAGAAAATGTGTACGCAATAGAACAACAATTTTATCATTTTTCATACACAAGAATTGGACTATTGACCAGATCGCCTTCCCCTTGTAAAATGTCGTGGTGTTCAAATCGCAGTTGTGTTAGAGAACGACGCGAAAAATATTTGAAAATACATACTTGTTCCATACTTGGTCCATATGGGACTGTATTGTCGATAGGTGTACTTAATCTATGGTTAATAAAAATATTAAGCAATGCCAAGTTTAGACCACACAGGATTCACCATTCCCTTTATACAATGTATATGTTTTTATACCCTTCACCAGACTGCGGTAAATTCCCGAAGTTAAGGCGATTGGCACAAAATTTTATACGACGTACTGAAGTTACTATAACATAATGTTTGTCAAGTTTCTTTGAAATCGGTTCAGATTTAGGTATAGATTTCATATATAGTTTCGTCCGATTTTAGATAAATGGTGCACCAAAAACCCAAGCCAACGAATGTCCGATTAAGATTTGCTTTAAGTCGATTTTCATAATTTTATTCGACTCTATGAAATGAAAAATTTAGTATATGTTGCAGAATGGGATGGTAAAGATCACATATTTCAGTTCATCCAATCGTCTGTCTGTAGGATGCATCTGTTGAATATAACCAAAGGGGTGAAGGGTATCATATAGTCGGCCCCCTCCGACTCTACTGGTTTTATTAGAAAGAATTGTAAACAGTTACAAGAAGAAGATGCCCTATAGACCATATTTTCAAATTTAATGTAGGTTTGACAAGTTTTTAAAAAGTTCACCCTTTGTGGGAGAAGTAGCAGAAGGGGTGGACCCGTATGTGCTATCTTCGATCTTCATCTAGTTTCGGTATAAATATTGCAAATGTAGGATTAAAGCAGACACTATTCCAATTATTTTATGATTTGACTCATTATGGGGAAGGTACAAACAGGGGTGAACCGTTGGAGCCCATCTTCAGACTTCAATGTTGCATTCTATTTATACATTTTCTAAAATTAACCTTTGTGAATGAGAAACCAGAAGAAATCGTCCAATGAGTTCCATCTTCGGACATAATATAGATAAAAAACTTGTCCGTTCGGTTTGTTTCATATGAGACTTAAAAATGTTCAAAATTGTGACCCTTTGTTAGGAAGCTACTGCCAAAACCCCATGACATCACATGATAAATGTTCAGCAAAATTTGGACCATCTTGTGGAAGAGGCATCAGAGGGATTTGGCTATCTTCAAACATAATTTATGTTTGGAAGAATTATCACGGTGTGTAAAATCCCTTCCAGAGCTAGGGTGACCACCTGGCAGTCCGACAGATGGACAGACAGACATCGATTCCGAATTGCCTGAAACGGATTTGCTCCAATGAAACATAAATAGCGTCTAAAACGATATTTAGATGAATCACATTTTTATTGTATTAAAGTTCGGATCAAAATAAGCATAATACAGAACTCAATAGCCACTTAAAAATTACTTTTGAAAACAGAATAGCATTAACAAGACATAGACATTTTCAAAAGGGTTCAACAGATAAGGTCATATATTTTAAGAGAGCTTATAAAGAAAGGATCCTTTCCCTATAGATTTGTTAAGATTGGGAATTTTTTTTCTATAAAAGGAAGACCAGATTTAACAGAGGAAATACCTTTCACATAAGGATTATAAGCGGAAGGCTCTCAAAACATCCGCCATCAATAAAACACTTCTCAAAATATCATCCAGGATTTTTGAAGATGTCGTCGTTATAGACGCAAGAACTTTTGCTGTTATTCTATTAAAGGATAACTTTCCAGAAGAACGAATTCTTTGTTATTGCATTTTTTCTGTCGAAAGGTATTCCGAATTTCTTGTGCCAAGGGTGGAACTTTCAATAGGAAATATATAAGCAGAAGCCTCTCAAAACATCCGCCATCAATAAAACACTTCTCAAAACGTCTTCCAGGGTTTTTGAAGATGTCGTCGTTATAGACGCAAGAACTTTTGCTGTATTTCTATTAAAGGATTCCAGAAGAACGAATTCTTTATTATTGTATTTTTTCTGTCGAAAGGTATTCCGAATTTCTTGTGACAAGGTTGGACCTTTAAACTTTTCTATCGGCAAAAATATGTTTTACCCTCCAAAAAATCGTTAGGTCCTCTAAAGAAAGTGTACTGCGAAGTCCTGTCAGAAAATTATTTTTTTCTTTTTGTTTTAGAGGACCTCTGCAAAGAAATTCTCTTCATCTGACTTTTATTATTTTTTTATATTTTTTATTGAACGAAGGTATTTATTTCTGAAAGACTTTCCTTGGATAGATGTGCTTTTAATAGTTTCTCAGAAGCCTGCCGATTTTTTTCAGATTTCGATGATCCAAAGGTTCATATTCAGAAGAAGAAAGACTTAACAAATGTTCTTCTGTATAAGTTTTATATTTAATTAAGACATTTCGGAGCGTTTTCTGTGGAAGGATAATAAGGTTATATAGTCTACCATTGAATAGGGATCTTACATTTTTTTAGATTTCCATCCTTAAAAATTTTAAAAATTTCATTACTATTTTTTTGATTTAATTAAATTTTTTCAATAATTTCAGCAAGGACTACCAGAATTTGGCATGGGTTCATTGGATCCTTACTATTATAATCGTGGTATTTTCCGTTACGCCAGCGAGGGAATTCAAGGTGGCCTGCTCATCAAGAATATGCAAATTCATGGCATTTCAAATCTGCAAGTGAAATCTTTCATTGGTAACTTCACCGACAACAGTTTGATTGTGAAATTGGGTTTGGAAATTAAACAACTGAAAGCTGATGGACAATTTAAGGCTGATGTTAAATTTGGTGGATTGCGGTTGGTGCCCAAGGGACCCTTTAACATTACCATTGGTAAGTGGAATTAGAGGGGGAATAATTAAAATTTATAATTCTAATATATAAAATTAATCTCAAATTCTGTTTGCAGACAACATCAAAGCTGTGGCCCTCACCGATGGCAAATTCATTAACAACGATGACAATGGCATGAGACTGCAATTGCAACGTTTAAATGCCAATGTGGCTGTGGGTAATGCCAAAATTATTGCCAATGGTATATTTTCCGATCGTAATTTGAGTAAGTCCCCATCACAAATATTTTAAATTTTATTTAACTAATGTTGTAATTCCCCTTTTTTCAGACACCATGATTTTGAATTTGGTCAATGAAAATCTGCCGGAAATCACCCGTGTTGGCATCCCCGCTACCCGTGACCAATGGGCCCCCATTCTAGTGGAACACATTAATAATTTCTTTGCCCAAGTTCCTTTAGAGAAATTCATAACACCTTAAATGAGTTCTGTTATGGCCAGAGAGAGCACAATACAACCAAATATTTATATATGTATATGTATGTAGTTATTTAGTTATTCACTACACACATTTGTTTTTTTTTTACAACCACAACCACTACTACTACCACCACACCCATACACATGCAAAATTGTAACATTAGTATTTTTTTTATTGTATATACATTTAAGATAAGTTTTAGTTGTATAAGAAACATTGATTTATTTTTTTATAATACCCACACAATTTAATATTGTTTATTTATTAATTATAACAACAAATAAAAGAAGAAAAACAAAAATATTTTATGAAAATAAATTTGTTAAAAACGAAAAAAGTTGTTCTGTTATTGTGGTGTTTAAAAAGAGGTTGTCGTTTTAAAATCAGACATATCTTTCATATTCCAAAGACATCTTAAATGATGTCTAAGCCTAAATATTTCTGCTATAAAAAGACCCTCTCATAACAGGAAGAATACTATAAATTCGACCGGTCCAAACACCAGGAAAAACCAAAAAAATAAATAAATAATATTTTCGATGGCACAGTTTCATACATTTCTGAGCATCTGAAAAAAAGTTCCAAAATACATACACTCAGGATGGAAAACTGGGGTAGAAATTTCAGCACACCGATAATTAAACGGGATATTTGCATGGTGGCTATTTACGAACATTAACCTATATCGAATAATCTCTAAAAATAAAAATTTTATTCTCCAGGAATCCGATAGGCAAAATATGCCGATGAATGTCAAATTACAAATACTACATTGGGAACCGTTTGGGGCTATGTCAAAACATGGACCTAAAATGATCATTTCTGTTTATATGTATGTCGGCCTTCAATAAGTCTTTATAGAAAGTTACAGCTACTCAATGAGAATCCAACATATGAAACTATAGCCAATTTCGTCGAAACACGTACCCAAATTCATAAAATTCCGATGTAGCGTTATATGTAACTAACCCTGTAAAGAGAATCTATACCCTAAGAACCCAAAACACCAATATATATTGGAGAATACAGTTATATGGGGGATATTGTAAAAAGTGGACCAATAATGATAACTTTTAGAGGAAACGTTTGCTAATTATTGACGCCATAATTGATTATGTTGCACATATACGTTGTTATATGGGGCCTACCCTAAAAAGTGGTGTGATTTTCATCATATATATTGCGGGCTCTATCTCCGGACGAACGAAGAGACATGCCTAAATCCAGATCTATGGCTTTGTTGCCCTTATAAAAAGTGATCTTAAATAAGTTTCAAGCATTTAATAGAAAAAATACTCCTTCGGAAAATAATTTTCAAATAGGTATTTTATTCTCGAGACTCTTAAATACCAAATAAGAGGCACTCGTTGAAAAAGTTATGCAAGGGCCGTTAAAATACCTAAAATATGGAATATGGAGTCTATGTCAACGAATTAAACATTTTCTGCAAGTTTTTGGAAATCAATGAAGGTTGAACTGTTCGGAGGTCTTATTTTAATGTAACTTAGATTGGAAAATATAAAAATGTGGAACATATTCTGTTAAAATATGTTCCACACCGGGTTACTTTGGCAACCCGATTGTTAGATAATGCAGCTAGGTCATTCAATATGCAGGAGTGTAGCCTGGTCTTTATAAAATGTATACGAAGTTCTATAAAAAGTCAGACATACAAATATAACTTTTAAAAGGACATTCAATTGAAATAAGACTCGCTGGATGAATCCTAGGCAAGGATAAAAATATGACGATCATAGTAATACCGTAAAATCCGCACATAATGTATCTTCACAATCCGAATTATAGACTAT